GCGCCCGAGCCACGAGAACAAAATCGCCCAAAGCAAACCGGGCGAACTTAACCGAGCGCTTGCCATTGCGCTGAGATCTGGCCTTCGCACGCTTCACGCCGGCTGTTGCTACTACCGTTTTGTGCATAGTACTCAACGCCTCGGCAAGCCCGGTTAAATGGCGTGTAGTCTCCGTCTTCACCCAGTCGATGGTAGTTTCGCGGGCTTCCTCGGGATGGACTAAGCCTGACAATGGAGGAGTCGCCGGGAGGCCGGTAAACGCTGTCGTAGGTGCAATTCCGCCCAGACGGTCGGACGGTTGTTGGTTCAAAGCCGATTGGACTAACGGTAACACCATAGGCCACTCCGTGGGGCGCAGGCGCATCTCGCTGCACAATGCCTTGAGTGTCCTTACGATGACTCGGTTCACCACCTCGACCGTTCCATTCGCCCATGGGCAGTGAGGCGTGACAAAATGGTGATGGACCCCGAACATCCGACCCATCGTGTTAATGAGCTCGTTCTTGAAATGAGACCCACAGTCGGATACCCAGGTCTTCACAACGCCGAACAGACCGAACCACTCCATCAGCGCCGAGGCGGTTTCGACAGCCGTTGCCGATGCACTCGCGTGGAGGCTTACGAACCCGCTCATATCGTCTTTGATGACTAGCACATGTTTGAGGCCACCCTCGGCCTCCGGAAATGAAACCCAGTCGAAATGGATTAGCTCGTTGGGCTTGGTCGCATGCAATGCTTCGCCCCAAGGCCGAGGCACAGATTCTCCGTCGACCACCATGCAATGGAGACATGCGCGGACGAAATTCTTCGCGTCGGCTTTCAGGGTCGGCCAATCGAACATGTCGGCTACCGAGGCAGTTGTTGCTTCCACGCGGCGGTGACCAGCCACGCCCGCATGAGCCACCACACATATGCGTACTTGCATGTCCAGCGCATCGTCAGGGATCCAAATCTTCCCCGAGGCGGACAAAAACCATTTCTTCTCGGCGCTCCAGGTCGAACATCGCTCACGCTCGGGGTGTTCACGTTGTAATGCCGTGATCGCATTCGCCGTCGGCCATACGAATTCCTCGGCACGTAACGGGGAAACTAATACCAGTTTCTGCATTCGGGCGCCTCGGTCGGGCCCCGCTACACTGCCCCATCTGCTGAGAAGGTCGGCCCACAGATTGTCTTCCCCGGCGACACATTCCACCACATATGGAAATGTTGTCATAGTCAGCGCCCACCGCTGAAGCTTGTGGGCCTGATACTTGGCCATGTTCGAGTTCGACCCCAACGGGTTGAACATGTACACTAGGTTGCGATGGTCGGTAAAGAGCCGAAAACCGCCGGGCCGAATCAGGAGGTATTCCAATCGTTTGCAGGACTCAATCACCGCAAACGACTTCTTCTCGACAATCGGCCATCGCTCGCTGGAACCTCGGAAAGCGCCACTCAGGAAAGCCAACGGTTCGTGTCGCTGGTCATTTGCAGGCAGTGCGAGATCCTCGGAGGGGGCCTGAGTTGCGACTGCCCCCCAAAACCCCTCGCTTGCATCGGTGTAGAGGCACACCATCTTATCAGGGTCCGGGTGGGACAGAGGCACCATGCGCTGTAGCGTCGCTTTGACCCGCTCGAAACAGGTCAAATGATCCTCGGCCCATCCGACTGAACTCAATGCCACTCTTGTCAACGCGGTTTTCTTGCGGGCGTAACACTCTGCCAGGCCTCCTTGGCCCATTCCAACGCTTCCAAGAACGTAACATCATGAAGTTTACTCACAAGTGCTGCAAAGTTTTCCTTGTCGCTTTCGTCGCAAGTATCAACCAGCACTTCAAACTTTTCCACAACATGCTTGGCCCTCAAAGTCCCAATCTTTGACTTGAATGCCTGAATAACACCGGCGTCCTGAGGCTGCAAGTACGCCGTCGTATTAGGAGGCAGGATGTGGATTGAAACATTCGACAGTTGGCCATCATACCGATGTGGTGACGCATTGTCGAGAAGCAGGAGAACTTGACGATTCTCTTGGAGCATCGTGTCGTTAAACCTTTCAACCCACTGTGCAAACACAACACTGTTCATCCATCCTTTGCCAGTTGCAGTGTACTCGAACCCAAGGTCCGACGCGCTACTCCCACCAAAACATCGTGGCTGCTTTGCAGTTCCAATGAACAACAAAGGCCACTTGCTTGACCCATCGGCGTTGCTTGTGACGGCAATGATGATGCGCTTCTTGATCTTATTTCTGCCTGAGATGCGCGCAGAGCAAATCGTTTTCGTATGTGTGGTGCAGTAAAAGTACGCTGTCTCATCCATATTGAAAATGTTGCACTTGTCGTAATCGCGTGTGACTTCATGTAGGCACCGCTTGCCGTCCTTGACGGCTTGTTCGCTGACGGACGCTGCCTCACCATAAACACGACGAGACTTGAAGTCGTTTCGAGCCTGGAATCGATACAACCATCCGTTTGAAATTTCCATGGCATCCAGTCTTGAGATGTCGTGGTGTGTCTGGCGACGCAGCGCATCACGGATTTTCTCGGCCTTTGCTCGGTGACTATCGGAACTTTCCACTCTTCGCACTTGCGAATCCACTGGATGAGGGACACTTCGAGTTCCGGACAGTGCGGCATGTGATTTGACTTTCGTGATGGCAGTGTGTGTTGGCACGTTTCGCGTTCAGTAAGCCACCCCGACATAGTTGACTTGGCAGGTAGTTTGTGCAGCTGGAAAGCAGCGAGCGCCCATTGGCGCAGGCGGAGGCCTCGTAGCGTTGGATTGGACCCATGGTGCTCGAGCAACGTTGATTTTTGTTCGTTTGTTAGCCGTAGCCTCGACGGCTGTGGCGACAGCATGATTTGAGTACCAAATACTTGTTTATCATGTGTTGTGTTGTGATTGGAAAAAGTCTGACCGACCATCCGACGAACTTCTCATTGGCTAAAATGGAATGATTTTTAACTTCATGGAGTGATATATCCTTCATGACGATGATCAATTCAAAATTCGACTGCAATCTACACCCTACGACTACGTTTTCTAGCCAAGCGAGCAAACGTCACCAACTTCACTTGAGACAACCGGCGCCGGCGACCTTTCTCAGTGAGGCCCCAGGAGGTCGAAAGGCTGACCGTGATCGTGGTGAAAGCCGCAATGACCGAAGCCGAGGTGTACGGAGGACTCAAAGTGGCCCCGGTCGAGCTGCTGTAGACTTCCAGAAGCACGTTTACAGCAAAATTCCACTCGCAATATATCTTGCCTTGTTTATTTGCCATGTCGCAGGTGCTGAGCTTGTGCAAGGGCGGAATTTCACGGGCTGAGGAGCCGCACCACCAATAGTGCCAGGCAGTGGCAACGTCGACAGACGGTAACTCGAAGTCCTCAGGCAGCATGTGCCACCTACCTCCCCAATAATGTACAGGTCGAAGAGGAGCTGAATCATCAACGACTGGAGGTGATTCAGATCGGTCGTTGGTACTAGCAATTCTTGAGACGGCATTATTGAGAAGTTCCTCTAGGAGGGCGTGCGTAATATTGCCAGAGGTGATTCCCTTGGCGTCCAGAATGGCTTCAATATTGTTGCGAATTTCACCCGGGAGCTCACGAACAGCGGCCAGATTCGTTTCCAGCTGGGTGTGGATGCTGACGTGGGGCGGGATCCCTGTGGGTTGCATCAAGGTGGACGCAATCGTCACTCTAGCGGCCAGCTGCGTGGTCATGCTCGCGTTGCCAAAGAGTACACTTGCCAGCAGTGGGTGCTTGGCTGGTTAGGTGCTGTGTAGGAAGGCCTTGTGGTGCACCAGCGACGCCAAGCACTTCGTCAAGACCCCTCGTAGGTCTTGATGGAACCAAAGTCGCGGAAAAACTAGTGCCCCGGCAGTGGAAACTGCTTCGTCACTGCCAGGATCAAAGTGAGGAGGTAGTGCAGCAAACTCACCGCTGTCAAGTGGAAGACCAGCCACAACGCGGCCCACGTATTGGTCACCGGCGCCGTCATAATGTACGTAGCGTTCAACAACACTACCGATGGACCACCCGCACCTGATGCACACGTTGACAATCGAGGGCCCCGAAGTACTCCCACCAATTGCGTACGTTGCAGCTCCCTTTCTGAGAGAGTGAGTTCCGATGGCACTGGTTGATGAAGGAAGCGCTGAGCCAACAAGCTGATTGAGGCTGCGGCCAAATCGGTCACGCTGCGAGGGACCCGGAAAAAGGTTGCCCGAGTCGTGAGCTGAATTGCACGCAAGGTAAATTGCCAAGGCCAAAATGCAGCACGTCTCGGGCTGCAAGGGATTGGCATAGACATGCTTGGGGTCACGGCGCTTGGTGCCACCCTGGTCAGTTTTGGACTTGAAGAAGGTGACTCCGATGGAGTCCCCTTCATCTGAGAGGTGGTCGACGCGAACGGTCTCCGTCGATCGTGATCGACACATCAAGTTCCACGATAAGGTGAGGAACAAATGCGTGAACCCCGCGTCTAGCTTGGTAAGACTTGCACGACACAGTTCTTGGTACTGGTGGTACCTGAGTGGCTGTTTTCCACCCGGCTTTATGGCCCCCGTTTGGGTCTCAGACGCACACAATCGTCGAATTCCTAGTTGTAGTTGAATTTTTGAAGGAGCAGATGTCGTACCTTGATAGATTGCAGTGGCATCAGTGACGAAACCAGCCGAAAGGGCCACATTTTGCCTGCTGTAGTAGTCCTTGATGGCTGATCGGTAGCCTGACAGCGTCGACAAGGAAACACCTGCGCTCTTGTACTTGTACAGTACGAACTCTGTGAAGTCTTCGTAACTAAAAACGTCGAGGTTGATGGACCCGTCTGGGTTTATAGTGCCGGAACGACCGGACTCACGAAGCCAGGCGACGACTTGCCGTACACCACTGAGGTAGCCCTTCTTTGAGCCCTCCGCTAAACGATTGTCTCGTAGGTCCTGCACCGTTATGGATTGCTGTCGGGTTGACACGTCGTTACGCGGTTCATCTTCCATGGTCGAAGTCCAGGTAAAATTTGCCAATAAATTGCAGCAGGACACTTGATCCGACTTTTTCATGTAAATTTCACCACGAAAGAATTTGATTCAGTTTTTGTATAGAAAAAGATTTCCAACGAACGAAAAAGTCGGACTCCTCATCCGACGATCGCTTGATTTTTGTATATTCCATCCGACTTTTTCCTGCTAATGTGGACTATTTCAAATTTTGAAAAAAAAGTCTATAAACGGATGTATGAGTCTTTTGGAATTTTATACATTTGGAAAGGATATCGACTTTACGTGGGTTCGCTATTGTGGGGGACAACTGTACTTGCATGGTTGAGGACTATGGTAGAACTCTTCGCCTTGGTTTACTCTGTAGTGGAGTTGCTCGTCATTGATGCGAGCAACATGGACGGGCAAATTCACCAGTATATCATCTCCTCTCGTTATCACTATGCTAGTTGAGTTGTTAGTTAAGGTACTAGTACTACCAAAGCACAAAAGCACAGCAAACAGCCTCGGAGAGTCTACTCAGCAATTTTTGATTTCCAGGAATAATTAGTTTTGATTGGATACGTGTATGTATTTATAGCCAATCAAAGTCTTCAAATAACTTCATTGTGTAATTTGCTGACAAGGGCCGACTGAAAATGGACTTGTGCTAGCTGGG